GTGTGTGTGTGTGTGTGTGTGTGTGTGTGTGATTCACACAAACACCAGTGCATCTGGTACCCAAAGTAGTCATGATATATGTTGTGAACATATGTAGTCACTACGTCAGGGGCCGACACTGCCTTCTCCATTGTGCACAGCATCAACTCGGAGCTCCTCTACCAGGAACTCCACATGCTTCCTCCTCTCCTCACATGCCTGGGCCTATACTTACCCATAGGCTCTTTCCTTCCTCCCCCAAGCCCTCCAGCTGGGAGAACGTATAAGCCCCTTTCTCTGGCACCCACTATGCTCCCAGTCTCATGTCTCTCTCCTCCTGCCTAACCATCCTTCAAAGTCCCACAGCCCCCTACCTTACCAGACCTGCTCAGCCAATAAGGATCTTTCATCTCTCCAAATTCTGTTTGCATTTTCAATCAAAGCCACCCAGTCCAACCTCTCAGAATCCCGAATCCACTACATTCCTAATTTGATATTGAAGCGTTTAGAGGGCAGCACTAAGGTGTCCACCAACAGATGAATGGATGGGCCCCCAAAGCATGGTCTATGAGTACACACCGTGGAATATTATTCAGCCACAAAGAGAAACAAAGTCATGACACATGCTACAACACGGATGCACCTGGGTCATGCCACACTGAGAGAAAGACGTTGCAAGATCTCTTATCTGACATAAGCTAATAGATGGGAATCGGAGATTACTAGTGGTTACTGAGCATGGACGGGGTGGAGAGAGGGGGAGTCTGTGCTCAGAGGGTACGCATGGTGGTGGCATGATTTGGATAGGAGAAATGGTTGTGCAGCTTGGAGAATATAGTCAGTGTTGCATCGACATATGTTTTGAGTGTGTGTTCTCACTACACACGCGCACGGCCTGTGCTAGTGATGTGGGCTACACTTTGGGCTGCTGACTGCAAGGTCAGCAGTTTGAGTCCACCAGTCACACCAAGGGAGAAAGATGAGGCTTTTGGCTCCCATAAGGATTTACAGCCTTGGGAATTCTACCCTTTCCTCCAGGGTTGCTATGAGTTGGAATCCATTTGATGACAGTGGGCTTGGTTTTGGTTTGGTTTGGCGTGGCTTGAACTTTCAGCATGCTTGACCTCTTTCACTTTGCTCTCCCCCATCGCCCCTCTGAAGTTTGAAGATGATATCCTCGACATCTGCTTCGAGATCCTGAACAAGAGCCTGTACTTCTTAGAGAACCCATCCAAAGACTACGCGCAGCGGAATGACGTGGTGTACATCTGCAGGGTGGTGAGCGCCATGGTAAGGAGGGGGCCCCCTGCCCGGCTGAGGACAGTCTGGACTTCCCCTAGACACTGTGGATGCCCACCTCTCTGTCTTTTCAGATCAACAGCAACGATGACAATGGCGTGCTGCAGGGGAATTGGGGGGAGGACTACTCCAGAGGCGTCAGCCCCCTGGAGTGGAACGGCAGCGTGGCCATCCTGCGACAGTGGTCGGCTCGGGGCGGGCAGCCTGTGCGGTACGGACAGTGCTGGGTCTTTGCAGCTGTTATGTGCACTGGTGAGTGAAGGGGTGATGGGCAGTAAATCCCTCAGCTAATCCTGAATACCCTGTGTGGTTTGGGGCTGTTAAGATTCTTATTTTCCTGGTAAGTAAACTTGTTGGGGCCCCTGGCACCTGGGACTGAACACTGCTTGGTCCTGTATTGTTGGCCATGGAATGGAACACGGTGACCCACAGGGTTGTCACTGACTGGTTGGGGAAGTTGATGCCACCAGACCCTTCTTTCTAGTCTGTCTTCCTCTAGAAGCTCTTCCCAAACCCAGGCTTCCAATGTTCGATACAATGGTGTGGGGTGCCATCCAACATCCTCTAACTTCACGAGCAGGAAGGAGGATAATCACGGTAGCATGGCCAGTGCCAGTCCTCTGAGGCAGGGCTCAGACATGCCTCCACCCTCCAAACTTCTTACCAATTCTGACATCAACCATTCCTCACACGGCACCTACATCTCTGCTAGGGCTGAGAATTCAATGCAGTGGCCACAAGGAGCTCACAGACAATATTCACAAATATGGGACTTATTGGGGGAAGTAACGTTATCATTCAGGATCACAAATGCAGGATGCTGTTCTTGGAGCCAGACAGCCTCCTCTTAGCCATGCTCTCAGGCATGCCTTTCTCTGGCCTGGTCTCTCAGTCCCCTGTCCCCTTACCAAAACACCCTTTTAGGTCTGCCCACAGAAGCCTGCAAGCCTCCTGTCCCCAAACACTCAGCTTCCTGGTTCCCTAGTCAACAAGGTCCATCCATTTCCTGCTGGTCTCCAGGCTCTGCTGCCACTGCCTTTCTACCCCTGTTTCTTGCCATCTCTGGTATCACAGCTCCATCATCTCTCGGATCAAGGAGACTCAGCACAGGGACCTTGGGTTCAAAGGACGTTCTGCATTCTTTCTCAATAGTAGTGAAATCCACTTCTGCCTTTGAGTTGGTTCATGTATTTTTTCTGGGTTATGGTGCATAATCTATTTTCTTTATTTATTAAGGTGTGGCTTGGCCCACCCCTCATTCTGTCCAGGAGCAGACGGTGACCACGGAGGTGCTGGGAGGGGGGGGGGCTGGGTTATAAGGCTTTCACAAGTAGGAAGATTGAAAGTAGCCAATTCTTTTGTTTCAATTCGTGGACGAGAACTAAAGAACACCTGTCTGCTGCAATCACCTGTCCACTTGCACGCAGCCACAGCTGTCTCCTAAACCCTTCGTGAGCGAGACCAAGACTTCACAGAGGGCCAAGGCCACTGAGC